ATCCCCATTTCATTTGTGCTTTTCATTTAAGAAGAAACAATACACACTTTTAATACTGATGCTGAAAAATCCTCTATTTTCCCGTAGAATCTGTCCATTATGTCCATAACAGATTGTCCTCTGCTTCCCAAACTCTCTTCTGCCAGCATTTTACTTAAGCAGAGCTCTCTGCCTTTTATTTCATTTAAAATTACTTTAAGGTTTAAAGAAGAAAATAAATGATTAAATAAAAGAAAAAAGAAGAAGGATTAAACAAGATCGCTATTATTAACAAACATGCTGTAATCCTGCAAGTTAAAATGGTTGTGTTGATAGGTGTCAATGATAGTGTTTCCACTGAAATACATTTTAATTATTTAATCACTGAGTGTTTTTAAGATTAGCTGGAATGCAACATCGATTGCTTGGCCTAGCATTTGTCTCCTAAGAAAGCGTTTCGGCTTTTGACGTGTTGTCCCACAAAGAAAGGACAACACAAGTGACCTTGAGAATATCTTTTGCCTGTTTCCTCAGAACCAACAATGTTAGTGACTCGAAGTTACACTAGGAGGCTGTTAGCCAGAGAAAGCCCTGGTCCCAGTGGTGGGACTCAGCCAGTTCGCACCACTTCGGCAGAACCGGTAGTTAATTTTTTTGTTGCCCAGGCCCAGAACGGACTTCCGGAATTGGCATCCACACAGAGAACCGGTTGTTCATATATTTGAATCCCATCACTGCCTGGTTCTATTTTTTAAGGGGCAACTTAGCATCCTCTGCCTTGCACCCTTGATTATTCCGTCTTTCCCTTCTGCATATCAGCTCGGTTATGGAAGATTTTAAGCTTTGTGGTGGCGCTTCCTTCAGTGGGCATCTGCTGGCTGAACGTGCAGCTGAGAAAGAGAGAACACTCCCACGAACGTCCTGAGTTCATCCCATATCCCCACCTGAGGATTCGGACAAAGGTAAAAATGTACCGGGAGAGGGAATTGAAGCAGTTAGGCCAGGGGTGAGGCTGGCTCAGGAATTCTGGGAGTTGAAGTCCACAAGTCATAAAAGAGCCAAGGTTCCCCGCCCCTGAGTTAGGCCCTTCATCTGGATTTGTGAAGGATTTCTTGCTTCTGAAGCTAATAATATAATCAAGAGTAGATCTTTACCCTAATTATCCAGTCCCCCAAAATTAAGTTGGCAACAACCTTTTGGATCTAAAGCAGTGGTTCTCAACCTTTTTAATGCCGCAACCCCCAACCGGTCGTAAGTCGAGGACTAAACCGGTCGTAAGTCGAGGACTACCCAATCTGTCGTAAGTCGAGGACTTTCCCTGCCTGGGAGCGCCACGCATGCGTGGTTCCGCCCCCTGCGCCGGCCGAGGCGTAGCTGGCAAGAGGCAGAGACGGAGCAGGCCGACCACCAGCTGGCCCAGCTCAAGGGAGGTAAGGCACTCGCCGGAAAAGGGGGAAAAATGGTGGACAGCCTTGCTTGGTGACCCCCGTGAAATGGTCGATCGACCCCAAATGGGGTCCCGACCCATAGGTTGAGAACCACTGATCTAAAGCTTTATAATCCACATTGAGCAGTGAAATCAGTCTGTAGTTCTTAATCTGGGTCAAATCGGAGTCTTCTTTGGGTATTAGAGTAATATTTGCTTCCATCCATGTAGATGGGAGCCTAGTTTCTAATAAAAGTCCATTACAAAAATCTTTCAGCGGTTCACTTAGTATCTCTTGGAGATTCTTATGTAACTCCACCGGAAGGCCATCTGGACCCGGTGTTTTCCCATTTTTTTGTCTTTTTATGGCCCCTGATATTTCCATCATTGTGACTCTTTCATCTAACATAGTTTTGAATGTCTCTGAGATTCTAGGAGTTATTCTACAAACGGCTAGAGGAAAGAACCAAGGATTAGGAATTGATTATGTATTAGCACTTTTGAATCCAGACATGTATGTAAGAGAAAAACTAATAAAATCTTTTAAAAAAAACTTTTGGATCTAAAGCTTCCTCTTCTGAAGCTCTACTCATAAGAGGCCCCATTTTTTATAGTATTAAGCGAATACTCTTTTATTTTTCTGGGTGAGCTGAATTTTTATATACAGGCAGTTCTTGACTTACAATCACAATTAAGCCCAGAATGAAGCCCACTGCTAAACAAAGCAGTTGCTAAGTGAATTTTGCCCCGTTTTACAATGTTTTTTTTGCCACAGTTGTTAAGTGAATCATTGCAGTTCTTAAACGAATCATGCGATCCTTAAGTGAATCTGGTTTCCCCCAGTGATTTTGCTTGTTGGAAGCTGACTGGGAAGATGGGAAATGTTGGTCACATGACCCCAGGACAGTAGAACAGTCATAAGTACATGCCAGTTGCCAAGCGCCTGAATTTTGATCTCGTGACCATGGGGATGCTGCAACGGTCGTTAAGTGTGAAAACTGATCACAAGTCACTTTTTTCAGTGTTATGTAACTTTGAATGGACACTGAATGAATGGCCATAATTCGAGGACTACCAGTACTTAATTGCTGGCTACGTTATGATGGGTTTTTGGTTAAAGTTCTGATATTTAAGCAATTGTTGATAAGAGGAAATAACTACCTATACTAAGATCCAGAGGCAAGTTCAAGTTGGTGGATTTGTGGTACAATGTTCATGAAGGATTATTTTTTAAAAAAAGTCAAGATGGTGGCCATGGCCTGCCATTGAAGCCCCGCCCCTTCTAGAATATTCTAGAATATCACATGCACGGCATACATTAAAAGAGGTGGGACTCCCATCATGTCATCATGGCTATTATCTTAACTCTCCTGACCTCCCCACCTTAGCCATCCTGATGTGTCACCCCGGAAAGCTTTCTTTCTGCATTCCCTTTTTCTCTTATTTATTTTAGGCTTATCCATGGGGCGATGGAAATCATAGCCTCTTTCACAATCCCCACACCAACGCACTACCCACCGGCTATGAAGATGTGGACAGCCACCGCTGAGACCCTCTTAACATTTCTTCTTCTAACCAGCTTCCTCTCCTAGCGAGGACATAGAGTTATGGGTGTTTAATGCATCTTTGAGACAGATGTCTATCTATGGAGTCAATAAAATGCATTTCAATGAGCATAGCGCATTCCTGTTATTATGTTATTAGGGATAGTGCTACCAAACGGCCAGATTTTGAATACAAAAGGGAACTTATCCAGATTCTGTTGAAGAAGCTGCAAGATCCCTTTCAAACAGAAACTTGATTGCTAATGAAAATACTAGGGCTTCGGGCCACTTCCATTTCCATTCTGTTTCTATGTGCCGATTCCTTGCAAACCACTGCAAAGTCCACTTTTATTTATTTCTTTTGGCCACAAAGACAGAGAAGATAAGGTGTCAGTCTCCTGTCCTTCAGATGACTAACGGGAGAGATGCAAAGTGAAGTTTTACACGTTGTCCTGTCCCAGACTGAAAAAAGCAGTGGTGTCACACATGCCTTATGAACTCATGCAGTTCCTCCTTTCTTTAACGTAAAGTTTGATTTTGCTCCTCACCAGAATCAAGGGAACAGAACCTAATCCAAAATTGTTTGTTTGTTTGTTTGTTTATTTCTTTATGAAATTTATATACCGCCCATCCAACTGTTGAGAGACAATATGCATATTTTCCCACAAAACACATGCTTACAAAGGAATGCGACCTGTAATACAGTATTTCATTCATACGTTCGTGGGTTCTCCATCCACTGAGAACTTGCCGCTGGCTGATGTTTCTTAACATGACCGTACAAGTTAAATATCAAAATAGCTGTGTTTACTAGCATGCTTTATCCTACCATTAAACCTCTTTTTACGTACTGGAAGTTGAGTCCTGGCAACTGGATTTCTTTTCTGGCTGGTTTGAAACGTTTCACTGCTCGTCCAAGTAGCTTCTTCAGTCTGAGCAAGTTGGTTAGGTGGACCCCGTAGATGTCCTCCAGAGAGGTTTCATTTTTTAATCTGGATAGGCTCCTTGGGTTAGTAGGCAGAGAGTTGTTGGGAAGTAAATGTTCCAGCTCCTCAATCCTTTAACTTAGAACAGGGGTAGGCAACCTTGGCTCTTTTATGACTCATGGACTTCAACTCCCAGAATTCCTGAGCCAGCCATGCTGAGGGGAAAGGGAGAGGTTTCCAAGCTGAGCTATGCTGGCTCAGGAATTCTGGGAGTTGAAGTCCACGAGTCATAAAAGACCCAAGGTTGCCTACCCCCTGACTTAGAACATATAACCAACTTGCTTAAACTGAAGAACAATAGCAAACATTTTGAACCAGCAAGACAACCAATCCAACTGCCCTCGCTCAACTTCCAAACGACTCCACCTGGAATTACTAAGAATTTTCATTGACATACTCACTCTTGTACAGGGATCCTCGACTTATGACCACGACTGAGCCCCAAATTTCTGTTGCTAAGTGAGACAGTTGTTAAGGGATTTTTGCCCCATTTTACGACCCTTTCTGACCACAGTCGTTAAGTGAATCACTGCAGTTGTTAATAACACAGTTGTTAAGTCAATCTGCCTTCCCCATGGACTTTGCTTCTCGGGAAAAAGCGATCACGTGACCCCGGGGCACTGCAATCGTCATAAATATGAGTCGGTTGCCAAGCGCCTGAATTTTGATCACGTGACTATGGGGGAATGCTGCAACGGTCGTAAGTGTGATAAATGGTCCTAAGTCACTTTTTTCAATGCCGTTGTAACTTCAAACAGCCATTAAAGGTACCGTTGTAAGTCAAGGGTTACTGAACAGGGACAGACAGAAGAGTTGGTTATCCTTTGGTACTTCCGAAGACACTTTTTCAAGAGGCAACTGGACTTCCTTTGTTTTTCCTTGAAGATCTTTTGCTTCTCATCCAAGAAGCTTCTTCGTGATTTCTGATTCATTCAGAACTGAGGAAGCTTCTTGGATGAGAAGCGAAACGTCTTCAGGCAAAAAAACAAAGAAAGTCCAGCTGCCTTTTGAAAAAGCGCCTTTGGGATAACCATGACCTGGATGACTGAGAATCTCCATAGACATTTATCCTTTGGTAGCCTCAGCAGGTGGGCTGGTCTCTGGTGGACTTCCGGCCCCCTCATTGTTTCCTGCGTCTGTCTCATCTATCATCTGCTTGTACTGCCTTTTGAAGAACCCAAGCTGGAAGGAAAAAGAAAGAACATTCAGTTGAGCATTGAGTAATAATGGCTACACATTAGATAGACGCCCGATCTGAAAAGGTACACAATCTAGAGCAGTGGTGGCGAACCTATGGCACGCGTGCCAGAGGCAGCACTCGGAGCCCTCTCTGTGGGCACACATGCTGTTGCCCCAGCCTCGATTCCCCCCATGACCCCCTCCTCACCAGCAGCCCCCCTGGAGAAGAGCCATCCCCAGAGTGTGGCCCATGCGGAGCAGCACAGCCAAGGACATGGCAGCCAGGCAGCGTAGACAAGACTCTGCCCTCACGCCCCATCGCGCACAGTTGATGCTGCAGGTCATGGGTAGAGGGTGTGGCCGCCATGGTGCTGCTGGGCTACCTGGGCGATCTGGAGGCGGTGAGTGGCCCTGGGGGCATGTGGAGTGGGGGCAGAGCAGAGGCGGAGCAGGAATGAGGTGGGGGCAGGGGCGGGGGCAGTTTTGGGGCACTCAGTCTCTGAAAGGTTCGCCATCACTGATCTAGAGAAATCCACAAACCAATTGGTTTATCCCTAAAGGTGCTTTTCCAAAAGGCAACTGGAGTTCCTTGGGTTTTTTTCCTTGAAAACATTTCACTTCTCATCCAAGAAGTTTCTTCAGTTCTGACTGAAAGGATTTATTTATTTTATATAAATCCTTCCATTCTGCACCATTCAATCAGAACTAAAGAAGCTTCTTGGATGAGAAGTGAAACTTTTTCAAGGGAAAAAATCCAAGGGATTCCAGTTGCCTTTTGGAAAAGCATCTTTAGGTCAACTAGGACTTAAGTGATTGAGAATATCTATAGACAATTGGTTTATTGTAAGACTGAAGGATGGACAATAATGGACATCCTTCGCTTAATTAGTAGATTTTTCTCCTCTGTTTCAGACACCTCTGCCCCTTGGTTTTAGCAGAAGCACTTTTGTTTGGGAAAAGCAATAACTTGATATGTTGTCCCATAATAGAAAGGTACATGGGAAGGGGGAGAAAAGTTGAGATGCTGCCTATGGAATGGCCAGATAAGAGAGGATATAACCAGCAGTTGTATAATGCAGAAGTCCCCAACCATTCTAGTTTGGTGGCCTGGAGGGAAGGGCAGGCATGGGGTGGCACTAGCATCTGCACGACGCTCGCTTGTGGCGGTACTAGTGTGAGTGGGGGGCATGCGCACACACACGTGCGTGCACTGGCCAGCCATTCACGCGGTCTGGTGGCCAATAGGCCACGGCCCGGTAGTGGGCCACGGCCCACAGGTTGGGGACCCATGGTATAATGGGTAAAGGAAGAAATCAGTGTCCCTAACTTCTCAGGCTATAAAAAATGACAGTGGGAGATTTGTGCCCAAACTGGCAAGATTCTGCTAATGTAGCCTTACAATAAAATAGAATTATTTCATCTGCTCGCGTTTCCCATCTTGTGTACCTGGGAAGGCTGATACATAACTAGGATGGAAACTGACTACTAAAATGTTCACTGCAAGCCATTTTCTCTTTCAAGGCTTACCTTATACAGAGCCGCAACGATCAGAACAAGGAGTAGAAGACCACCCACAGCGCTGCCAATAATGATGGGCAGAGAGTTGTAGGCCTCCAAGAACTCCACTGTGGTCTTCACCTAGAGGAGGGGAAGGGCTGGATCATACAAGGGAAGCCAGAATCCTTTGATCACAGCTTCCTCCCTCCGTACAGTGCTTATCCAGAGGAGCCAGAAGTTCTCATTACAATCTTTATGTCAACCTCCAGCTCCAGTATCCAAATAATAATCCAGGATTATTTTCATTTCTGAAAAGCTTACTGTTTATTGAATAAAATGATCTGGTACAGGCGAAGTAAAACTAACTCTAAAATCCCAAGGCATCATACCATAGCATAAAACAATGACTTTCCTAGCCACCACCACCCCCAGATGTCCCAGTAGTTCATGTAAACAAGTTCTTTTTGTTATGGGAACCGTCTGCTATCTTCTTCACACCTGCTAGAATGCCCTTGAAAGGGTTCTAGACGGCTGGCTCTCAGCAAACCTCTGTAGAACTGGAGAGATTTCATTTCTCTAACTCAGGGCTTTTCAACCGGTGGTATGCGTACCACTAGTGGTACGTTGGCACCTGGCAGATGGTACGCATACAACGGGTTGAACAGCACTGTAAAAAAAATGTAAAAAAAAAGTGTAAAAGTGGATGAGGTGAAGCGGCAGCAGCGCCGCACAGGCTTGTGGGAAAGTCAGCTGGAACTGCACGTTGCCTGGGTCCTACTGAGAGCCCAGGATCAAAGTGCACAGCTCCAGCTGATTGCCGGCAGCCTGGGGGTGGAAGGCAGCCTCACGCAGTCTTCAGGTGGAGATTCAGCTGGACCTGCGCGACGCATTGCCTGGGTCCTGCTGAGAGCCCAGGATCGGCGCGCGCAGCTCCAGCTGATTGGGGTGGCAGGCGGCCTCATGCAGTCTTCAGGCAGAGATTCAGCTGGAGCTGCTTGAGGCATTGCCTGCCTGGGTCCTGCGGAGAGCCCAGGATCAGCGCGCGCAGCTCCAGCTGATTGGGGGTGGCAGGCAGCCTCGCGCAATCTTCAGGCAGAGATTCAGCTGGAGCTGCGTAAGGCATTGCCTAGGTCTTGCTGAAGGGGAGAGAAGAGAGGATATTAAAGGGGGTGAGAGAAGAGTGGATATTAAAGGGGGTGAGGACTACCTGTACTTTATCACTTTTTCCCATTTTTTGGGGTCATCAAGTTTTTGACACCTTGCTAGGCGACTAGTGGTACTTGAATATTGCCATATTCCAAAAGTGGTACAATCGGTGAAAAGTTGAAAAGCCCTGCTCTAACTAACCCATTTGAAAGCAACACCTCCCCGCCTTACTCTAATGGCAAGAAGACAAAAGAGGGGCATGCAGCTGCCAAACTTTCACTCTTGACAATTTAGTGATACCTTGGAGGAGAGGAGTCATTACCTGGTCCTGCACGAATCCCTCTTTCTGCTTGTATTTGCTCTCGTCATAGGAAACTTGGGCAGAGCTCACTAGAGTCACCTTCTTCTGCTGGGTCTGGGAGAAGACATAAACAGCCTCAGAGGTGGGGAAGCTGGTTGCTTGAAAGGCTGCCCCAGAGAGGGAAGGGCAAGAATTACAGGTAGACCTTGACTTACAACCTCAATTGAGCCCAAAATTTCTGTTGCTAAGCAAGACACTTGTTAAGTAAGTTTTTCCCCGTTTTACGACCTTTCAGTTGTTAAGTGAATCCCTACAGTTGTTAAGTCAGCAAAATGGTTTGTCATGGTTTCAACAGATGAAACTCTTCAAAAGAACTTTGAGGCATTGTTTACCTTAAACAATATTTTATTCGAGAAACAAAGTTTCAGCACTACATAGTCTAAACCAAAAACTAAATTCCCACCCCCCAAATACAAAGTATCAAAGCACAATTCCCTCCTCAAATAAACAGTCCTAAATCACATTCCCCAATTACCTTGAAGCGCAGGCCTCCTCTCCAGTTCTCCAACCCGCCAATTCCTTATCAGCTCTGGTTACAATAACCTTGTTTCTCACACTAGGTCTAGTGTTGTTATGTCTAGATGAACTCTCGTTCACATCCCCCCTCCCAGCATCATCTAATTCTAAAAGCAAAAGGTAAAAGATGGCTACATTTCCCTTTGTTGTCAATGCAAAAACATCCGATGTTAGCAGTGTGGACACGGTTGTTAAGTGAATCTGGCTTCCCCATTGACGTTGCTGGTCAGAACGTTGCAAAAGGTGATCACATAACCCTGGGACACGGCAACTGTCATAAATATGACTCAGTTGCCAATGGTCTGAATTTTGACCGCGTGACCATGAGGGTGCTGCAACGGTCATAGGTGTGAAAAATGGTCATAACTCGTTTTTTTCAGTGCTGTTGTAACTTTGAATAGTCTCTAAATGAACTGTTGTAAGTTGAGGACTAACTGAACTGGTGTTAATGGAAATGTTATTTGTAGACACAGACATGCCAGTGGCCATTGGCCTATCTTCATTGGCCAAATCCCATCCAGCTACCAAAATATATATGAAAAAAAATCCTATGAATTATCTGTCAACGCTGCTAACATTGGATGATCTTCCTCTGACAAAATATGCAGAGCTGTGTGGTATTTTTAGAGTTAACTCAGAAGACGCTGGGAGGGGAGGAGAAAGAATGTATGTGGGTAATTACATTAGATATGCACTGTAAACGGAAGAGAACCTTTACCCTTCAACCTGATAGGAGAACGTGATTTATGACAGCAGATTGAGGGAGGGAACATGCTGACAAAATATGTGCTCAGGGGAGGAGAATTTAGATCTTAGCATCCCTCTTCATGCCGTGCCGACATTTTGTTACATGAATAAAAGACTTTTTAGGATAAACAATGCCTGGAAGTTCTTTGAAGTGTTTCATTAGTCGGAACCTTGACATTATCATTTCTTGATGGTGACAATAATTCTGTGGGACAGTTCTCACCATTATACATTACAGAGCTATTCCATATACAGGGGATTTTGGTCTGAAATCAGCATTGTGCTCCTATGTCCCTATGATGTTTTGGCCTTTCTGTTGGTCTCCACAATCTAAGTCCCAGGGGTCCCTAACCTGTGGGTCACGGCCCACCACTAGGCTGTGGCCTATTTGCAACCGGGCCAGAAGCGCCAGTGCTCGCAGCCACACTCGCGCAAGCAGTGTCCCAAAGGTTTCTCTCTTGCGTGAGTGGAGCTGTACGTACAGGTGCACTGGCCCACCACTTGCACAGCTCAGTTCCCTCTCCTCCCCCCACCAGCCAGGCCGCCAAGCCGCAAAGGTTGGGGACTACTGATCTAAGCCGAAGAACGTTTGGGTCAACAGTTCCTCCACAGGAAAGATAATTTTTCAGGATTTCTTCTAAAGCTGAGAAGTAGACAATTTCCCACTAGCTTTGTCCTATTTCCGAGCTTCCCAGGAAGCAAAGGTATTGTGGTGTCTTCGCTTATCCTTCCTTATTGCTTTGATGGTAGGCTTTACCACTTCCGTGTACTGGCCAGTTGTTTTTGCCTTTTGTTGCCTCACCACAAATAGTCAACATAACGAAGGAAAAATGAAGATGAGACCTAAAAGCCATCTGTATTTTTGTATCATGGACTACATAGAGGCAGCACTGGTCAGCTCAATGGAAAGATGAAGTCAACATGCTGAAGGAAAAAGAGAACGAGAACCAAGAAACACCTGTGTTTCTCTATCATGGGCCAGATTGTGGTGGCTCTGGTCAACTCTGTGTGCAGAATTAGGGAATACATATGGTGGTGAAGTCAATGCATATGCCCTTAATGCAAACATACTCTAATAATAATAATAATAATAGTAAAGTTGGAAGGGACCTTGAAGGTGTAGATCAGGTTGGGGGACGAGTCCGTCCTTTGGGATATGGTAAAGCCTGTTTACCGACAGGTCAGAGAAGAATTTTTGAAGGTCACAACCTCGTAAGTGGCGAAGACCTCCGTCCAACAAGGTGACCAATTAACAAGACACTGTCAGGAAGTTTCTCCTTAGTTCTAGGTTGCTTCTCTCCTTGATTAGTTTCCATCCATTGCTTCTCGTCCTACCTTCAGGCGCTTTGGAAAATAGCTTGACTCCCTCTTCTTTATGGCAACCCCTGAGATATTGGAACACTGCTATCATGTCCCCTCTCGTCCTTCTCTAGATGCGATGGTGTATTATTATACCACAAAAGGCACTTTCCTGTCCTGCTTTCTAGCCCAATAAAGCCCCAGAAAATGCCTCCATACCTGGGAAAGCCAACTGAAGCCAATGTCCCCATTGATGTTGAACTCAATAGGTTGATGGAGCTCCAAGGATGGAACATTGCAAGTGATTGTTTTACAGGTGGCTACAGAGCAGTCCTGGAAGACACAGAAGAACATTGTCAAGTCTGGTTGTAGGAACGTATACGGATTTCCTGTGACCACGGGGGCCGACCGTGAGGTCACCATTTATCCAGATCCCCCGAGTCCATCTGCTTTTTTTCAAAGGAGACTTTCTGGCAATAGCACCAGGTATACTCACCAAAACAGGTTGTTTGCTTAGTTGCTTCACAAACTCTTTGGATCCTGGAGTGTTTGTTCCAGGAACACAAACGACCTGGGAGAGCTGATGGACAAAAGAAAGGAACAATCACAAAATCAGGAGGCATTATAAGAGGCCCCATTTCTGAGCTTGAAGAACAAGTCATGGAAGAGCTTTAATCTTGCATTGTTTATCTTTTCAACCCTGAACATCTTAGAGCAGGGGTAACTTTCTCAAGGGGCCACATGAGAAACTGGAACTGTTATGGAGGGCTGAACCAATCGGCTGAACCTAATTCTGCTCAGTATTAATTTTATCACGTTATAAAAAGGGGTGATTTACATGGTTTTGATTCGCTGCACCAAATTTATATTTACTTTCTAATTTTCAATTGACCTCATGCAGGCTGGACAGGGACAGCCAAAGGGTGTAAATGATTAAATGACCTGAAAATGCCCAGGTCTGTCTTAGAGTTAAATGGGGATGTTGCATTGAGGTTTAGGGCACATCCAATAGGTATTTTACATAAGTCTCCTTAGTATACTGAGAGTTAACAAAGGGAGGGAACAAAAAGAGTTGCTTGAAAGCATCTATCCTACTTTCATGGTGGTGGTAAGTTCTCACCAATCTCTATTCAATTATGTGAGCACGGAGCAAAGATTTCTGAAAAACATTTCTCTTCTTGGATCCGAGAAATCAACCAGCTTATTTATCAATTTATCTTTGGCAAAGGCCATCTAGATATTCCTGGGGAACTGGCAAGGATTGATTAGGTCACGTTGTTTCTTCTCAGCTTGTACTCAAAGACACTTCCTCTAAACAAGAAAGTTCTGTTTATTGCTCATGGCCACTGGCCTGCTTATCCCCCTTGAATTGTGTCTCCATCTTAATCCCTGACTAAATGTTGACATGGACAAGAATTCCGAATTTATATGTTCCAGAAAAAGATAGGCGTATGTGCCAATTGGTTTCTCTTGATACTAAATGAGGTATTTCAATGAGATCTATATACCTTACAAAATAATAATTAAACTTGACTCTGAAACTTGGGTCCACCCCATTTGCAAAGTATATTCAGCCATTAACCAGATTTTTCTTTAAAATTAAGTAGCTATAATTATATACAAATATGAATTACCGACTCTTTTTTTCTTAATCATGCTTGTCTTTGCACTTAAAAAGTGGGAGAAATTAAGGAATGGGTGAAGAGGAGAAAAATCCAAGGTGACACTTCCCCCCAACTTTATCAAATTTCTAAAATGAATTTGAAATATGGGTTTGAAATATTAAAGAGTAATCTACTATTAAGGGATGAATATTTGCTTACCCGATAAGCAATCTACTGCTAACTCAATTTATACCTATTAAACATTATTTGTTTTTCAAATAACTTGAACGCTTTGGGCCAAATAAACATCAAAATAATATTTCGGAAATGCCTAAAGTAACCTCCCATCGTGCTTTTCTTCTGTTTAACCCTAACCCCACCCAACCTTTTATTGTGCAATCTGGTAATTAGTGGACGGATTTCTGGCTGTACAATTTTGCTACATCAATATTTATATTCTCATCAACACAGCTCCAGAGGAAATATACCTCTTTAGGGACATCCAAGATTGCGTTCCAAATCTGTGCTCCATTCAGCGACACAGGAATATGAAAAGTTACTGAAACAGGAACTTTTCGGTGAAATGTGTTCTTCAGCTACATTGGAAGAAAATGCCGCATAAGTGAGCGCAGACACCCAACATTCTTAGCACAAGTCAATATTTTGTTTTTCTAGGGATGGTTCCCCCTTGTATCTAGACGTGGGAGGGACAATTGTGCACTTAAAATTGCTTCTTTACTTATGCTCCCATGACACCACCTTGTTCCCAGCCAATAAGTGAGACCAGCTTAAGTCCTTCTTAGCTGTATCCATGTAAGAATAGTGATCTTCTGACATTGACCAAGGACATCTTGAAGAGAGATAAAATCTGCCACTAAATTTTGAGGGAAGTTGGAGGATTAGAATAACTGAGAATGATGGCAAGAGAAGCCAGAGAGGAATGAACAATAAACACCCTTTTTACCACCTTGTAATCTCTTATTTCGGGGTTGAGTAGGGGTGCCTGGGTGGTGCTGAGCATTTATTGACCAAATGCCCTTCCTGATGCTACCCAGAATTTGCAGCGGATATTTTTTCTTTGTGCCCTAGGAGAGAAATATCTGCTGCTACCTAGGATTGAAGTCTCAACCTTCTGAGTGGGAGGCAAGATTCTTCACCACTAGGCCACCACGCCACTCATCAATGGGGATGCTAAATTTCATGGCAATATATTTTTTTCTACCAACTCAAAGATGGATGGAGAATATTTAATGATGGAGAAAACTCTCTAGAACAGGGCTTTTCAACCAGTGGTACGGGTACCATCTGTGGTAGATTTGCACCTGGCAGGTGGTATGTGACCATGCTAGAAAACTGGTAGTGGGGGAGGGGAATGAGCTGAACCAGTGGCAGCATCGCACAAGCCTGAGCGAGAGATGGCTGGAGCTGCAGGGCTGTCAGGGCTCAGCGGAAGTGCCAGGATCAGTGCCAGGCTTCAGCTGGAGCTCGGCACTGATTCTGGTGCTTCTGCTGAGCCCAGAAGAAGTGCCAATCAGCTGGAATGTTGCAGCATCTCCAGGGTCTTGTGATTTACATTCAGATGCTTGGCAACTGATTCATATTTATGACGGTCACAGTGTCCCAAGGTCATGTGAAGTGACCAAAACCTGCTGCAACCACCCAGAAGACGGGGGGAATAAAAACCAAACACCCCCCATCCCACCCCCACTGCCAATCCTCAACAGAAATGCTCACAACAATGAAAACCTCGGACAGGAGGAAGAGCGCCACCAGGTAGGCAGGCAAGTGTCTTGCTCGGCTGTTTCCTTGGGGGGCACTTTTTTTCAGTGCCATTGTAACTTTGAACAGTCATTAAGTGAACTGTTGTAAGTTGAGGACTACCTGTACTTTATCACTTTTTTTCCTTTTGGGGGGGGGTCATCAAGTTTTTGACACTTTGCTAGGCGACTGGAGGTACTCGGATATTGCCATATCCTAAAAGTGGTACAATGGGTGAAAAGGTTGAAAAGCCCTGTTCTAGTCCAACCCCCTGGACAAATGGCTGTCCAATCTCTTCTTTAAAAAAACCTCCAGTGATGGAGCACCCACAACTTCTGGAGGCAAACATTCCATTGCTTAGTTTTCTCCTTAGTTCTAGATACATTTTTCTTGCTTGCAAATGCTTCTCAAAGGAAGAATGCATCCGTCACTAGGTAAGTGTGCTCCGTTCTTAAATCTCCCTCCACCTTAATAAGTAAAGCCCTGTCTGTTCTAAGTTCTTGATCAGAAAGTGATCCACATCCTTTTCACCTCGTATCGATGTTCCACAGTCCGAGTTTCGTATTCCTGCCCGACAGAAAAATTAACATACTTGGTTGACTCATCCAAGCTGGAAAAAAAAATGGTGAAAGATTGTGGGGAAAAAATACGTTATGCGATTGACCCGAATTTTGAGTTAATTAAGATTACAGTTGTGTTCCAATCATTTCCTTAGCAATGCACACCGAGGAAGATGGGTGCACATAGGTGGGTGTGTAAACAATCTTTCCAACACTTCAGAGCAACCTCTTGAGAGTTGGTTAAGCAATGGGAGGTCTTCTTCTCAAATACTTGCAGCCACTTACCTATTGATGAAAACATAGATTGCATACTTGACAGGCAGCTCCATTTGATGAAACATGTCCTTTGTGACAGCAACGTTATTTTCACTGGAGGGACACAAGGAAAAATGGGCAGAGCAGCAAACGTGACACACATGCATCTCTTAATTACAACCACTAAAGGCTGTGCTGTTCCCCCTCCCCCATCATATTACATTCAGTATCACCTGATATAAAAGTTAGAACCTCTTATCAATGAAGCTGTATTTATTTAAAGAACATTTGAACAACAGGATGCNCCAGATGCATTGAGGTCAATGGGATTAGTTATGGCCAGGGAAATTGCTGTCATTGGTTGAGTTTAGATGGTTTTAAAAAGAGGATCAATAGGCTGATGGAGAATTGGGGTCTCAAGGGCTATTAATATTGACAGCTGTTGACCTTCTGAATCATAGGCAGCAAATTCTAAATCTTGGTTGCTGGGAAGTGACAGTGGAAGGGAAATTCACTTTTCTGTCTAGGTCAGGGGTAGTCAACCTTGGCTCTTTTACGATTCGTGGACTTCAACTACCAGAATTCCTGAGCCAGCCATGCTGAGGGGAAAGGGAGAGGTTTCCAAGCTGAGCCATGCTGGCTCAGGAATTCTGGGAGTTGAAGTCCACGAGTCATAAAAGAGCCAAGGTTGACTACCCCTGTTCTAGGTTATGAACTTTCTAAATATATTCACTTGACTACAGGGTGACATAAAATATTGAACTGGATTAATGTATCTATCGAGGCTCTTCTTCTGAACTTAGTATGTTCTGAGGCTATGTTATTATGCTTTGTGGAGCACAACACTTGTGGGATGACTCTAGGAAGCTCTGTACATGGCTAGTGGAGAAATGACTGTAGACAACATGACTGCTAATCTGATTTACACAGGAGAATGTTTGCATTTTAGTCATGGGAAGTTTTACCTGGCAGCTGTGGCACTGATCCGTACCACACTTCCCAGATCTGCATCTTGGGAAACAAAAAAGCTGACAATAAAGATCACCTGGACAGAAGGAGACACAAAAAAAGCAGTGGGCCCAGAATGCTTAAAGCAGAGCTGTGTCATACATTCAATCCAGTTTTATATTTCGTTAATAAACAGAAACTTTGGCCGTGAGAAACGTGGAAGCTTCTCGGCCATTTTTTCCAGCCATCAAAGAGCTACAATCCCTAGAGCAGGGCTTTTCAACCAATGTACCTGTGGTACATTGGCACCTGGCAGGTGGTATGCGACCATCCTAGAAAAGTGGTAGCGGGGGAGGGGAATGAGCTGAACCAGTGGCAGCACCGCACAAGCCTGAGTGAGAGATGGCTGGAGCTGCAGGGCTGTCAGGGCTCAGTGGAAGCCCCAGGATCAGCGCCAGCCTCCAGCTGGAGCTCGGCGCTGATCCTGGTGCTTCTGCTGAGCCCTGAAGAAGCACCAATCAGCTGGAAAGCAGCACTGATCCTGGCGCTTCTGCTGAGCCCTGAAGAAGCACCAATCAGCTGGAAAGCGGCACTGATCCTGGTGCTTCTGCTGAGCCCAGAAGAAGCGCCGATCAGCTGGAATGTTGCAGCATCTCCAGGGTCTTGTGATTTACATTCAGATGCTTGGCAACTGATTCATATTTATGACGGTCACAGTGTCCCAGGGTCATGTGAAGTGACCAAAACCTGCTGCAGCCACCCATCTGATGGGGGGAATAAAAACCAAACATCACCCCCACTCCACCCCCGTTCCCAATCCTCAACAGAAATGCTCACAACAATGAAAACTTCAAACAGGAGGAAGAGTGCCGCCAGGTGGGCAGGCAGGTGTCTTGCTCGGCTGTGCCTTGGGGGCACTTTTTTCAGGGCCATTGTAACTTCGAACAGTCACTAAGCGAACTGTTGTAAGTCGAGGACTACCTGTACTTCATCACTTTTTTCCTTTTTTTGTCAAGTTTTTGACACCTTGCTAGGTGACCTAAAAGTGGTACAATGGGTGAAAAGGTTGAAAAGCCCTGCCCTAGAAATTGGGGGTGGGAGCAGTGACCTTTAAGCCTTTGTGCAAGAGTAATTTTATAGCCAAATTTTGTACACAATTGTTTATTGTGAAATCATTCTTTGGACTCACAACTAGATCAGGAGCAAGACATTCTATCTCAATGCAGTTTTGTGATTTTTGAGAACAAGCTATGTACAGTCTCACAAAATAGCCATTATGAGCTCTTTTTATAGAGAGTTGTAATGCCTTGAGTTGTTAAATGTCTATGGAGATTCTCAGTCATACAGATTATGACTGTCCCAAAGCTGTTTTTTTCAAAAGTAAACTAGACTTTGTTTCTTCCTGGAAGATGTTTCGCTTCTCATCCAAGAAGCTTTTTCAGTTCTGAAGAAGAAACTTTTTCAGTTCTGAAGAAGAACTGAAGAAGCTTCTTGGATGAGAAGCGAAACGTCTTCAAGGAAGAAACAAAGTGCAGTTACCTTTTGAAAAAAAACAGCTTTGGGACCCTAAGTTGCTACTAACTCTTGATTTTATAGATAAGGTCAACCACCTCAACTGGGCAAAAGATTCCATGTATTAGAGTACTGCCAACTCCATAAGACAGCTTTTGGATGGAGACTGTCAACCATTCTTGGTCTTTGGGTGGAGGCTGTCAACTACTCTGGTGTCCCAGATGATCACCTTCTCCACTAGACATACATGCAGGAAGAGAGTACCTCAGCCATGCTCCGGAAGATGGGATGATTGATGTCACAAGTGGTGTTCCTCACAAGAGCTTCCTCTGCAGCAGGAACAGAGGTGCATTTAATGACCACATATTTTCTGTTGGACTGAGGAGAATAGGATATGATAATGAATATCACGGTTGGTAGACAGTATCATCTTTGGCCATTCCCCAGCCCTTCCACTCTGGTGTCTCTGATTTCTTTATACTTACCCGCACTAGTAAAAACCTGCGGTAGGACAGTGAAGACGGGTAGATGAAAGTCAACTTGGTGCTGTAGGAATCCTCTCCGTCATTCCGGATGAAAACAGTAGCATTGAGTTCAGGGGTTAGGCCAACTACCAATTCATTCAAGCTGAAGGAAAGACGGAGATAATCCTTGACGATCTTAAAAACATGAAAGCTTAAAGTAAAATCCCCTCTGGAAGCCTCTCCTTTAACTTGGAGAAACCTACCTCAGATATATAGAGGCTTTCTAAAGAAGAAGAAGTATTGTGAACATGGTTTACAGGTTCAGGGTTTTTTTTATAATGGCTTTAGATCTTCCATGGACAGTGTGCATTGAAGGCTACTCATACTTTGTCCAATAAAGCTTGGAGAGATTTTATGAAGAGGTGGTTCCAACGAGGTACACAACAGTGGTCTAACGCATCTAAAAAGGACCTGTCATGACTGCGTTGTCAGAGGATAAGAGCATTGAGCTTGGAGCTTGAGACTGGATCAGGGATTGGTGGCTGGATAAGAACCAGTTGGAGTAGTGGTTAAAGTACTGGACTAAAAACCAGAAGACAGTGAGTTGTACATCTTCCTTAGGCATGTAATCCAGTCTCTCTCAACACAACCCACCTAACAGGATTGTTGTTGTAGGGAAAATAGGACTAGTAGGTATGTTCACCATCTTGAGTTATTTATAAAAAAGCAGGATAAAATGAGAGTAACTGTGGTTGAAAAGAAGAAAATGTGGATAACTGACATGGTAGTACCAGGAGACCATAGAACAGCAGACAAAGAACTGGAGAAGATCACAAAGTATCAAGATTTGAACACTGAAATTGGAAGATTATGGCATAAACTGGCCGGGGTGTTTCCAGTGGTTATTGGCACATTGAGTGCCATACCAAAAATCTTAGAAGGCATTTTAAAAAATCTGCTCCTTGATAAAATTTTCATTTGTCAATTATAAAAGGCTACATTGCTTGGATCTGCCTATATACTACACAAATACATTACAACATGCTACGTTCTGGGAAGAACTTCATGCATATGAAGGCCAAAGAACTGGCAGCTGTAATTTCACATTTTTGTGTAAATAATAATAATAATAATAACAATAATAATAGTACTAGTAGTAGTACATTCTGGGAGCTGAAATTCGCACAGCTTAAAGTTGCTGAGGCAGAGAAAGACTGAGATAGGACAACACCAATTTCCAAACATAATATTCTGGTAAGGCAATGAGAGTTTTGCCTTATACAAGTAGTTCTTGTTTAATGTCTGGTTGCCTAGCAACCATTCAAAATTATGACGGAACTGGTTCCAGAGTTCCAACGGCTGCCCACACCCCTCGGTCACATGATCACATTTTGGATACTTGGTAATTGGCTCAACTTTATGGCCAGTTCTGTGATGACATGACCATGATTTTGACAATTTTTCCCAGTTCCCAGTCTTTGGGGCAGGTTTCCAGCAAAAAATGCTCGTTTTAATTTTCTTTATCAAATTTATTTGCCGCCCGTTTTGTGGTTCAGGTGAGGAATGCCCATAGGAATACATGGATTCACTTAACAACTGCAGTGTTCACTTAATGACTGCCACATTTTGCTTAACAGCTGCCACGTTCGCTTAACGACTGTGGTAAAACAAAGTTGCAAAATTGGGCCTAATCATGCAGACGTCTCAACTTATAACCGTCATGACTTACGACAGAAATTCCAGGCTCTATTACGGTTGCAAGACTAAAACTACCAGTAATTGTATAAATATTGAACACCTAAATGTAACTGTTTAACAATAAACATTGAGTTCATTGACTTAGATCAGTTTTTAACAAGCATGAATGAATTCTGTTGAACTCTGCGGTTGCTATAAAGATGAAAGGCATACTCTACCCTGAGAAATTGAAGGATGTTTTTAACTGGTCTTTACAGATTCCATCTTTGCCGCAGTCCTTCTCAAAGGGTAGCTATGAGGACATAAGGGAAGGAGGGAGAGAAAATATCAGTCTCCATGAACAGGTGAGACGAGGGATAAAATACTAGAAAGCATGGTTTCTCAACCTTGGCAACTTTAAGACCTGTGGACTTCAACTCCCAGAATTCCACAGCCCAACCATGCTGGCTGTGGAATTCTGGGAGCTGAAGTCCACAGGTCTTAAAGTTGTCCAAGTTGGGAAGCCCTGTAATAGAGGTTGAATTTATACAACGTGCCTTTCAATTCCAAACTTTTCTTTGTAGACATTGATACCACATTTATTTATCATCATGTTCATATCACCGCCTGTGGAAGCTTGGTTTACGCAGAGCATTGATTCTCAATTTAATTCTGAAAATCTTGGACTCAACCCTTCAGGGGCAGAACCCACTGGGTCACACCTGTCAGCCAATTGGATTCCATGATGGACTTGCATCAAGGTTATTTGAGGGACCTCCTCTTCCAGATTATATCTGCTGGTTCCATCAGATCCAGCAGATGGCATGTTATGGTCCTTCCTCCAGTAGAAGAGATGTGCTATGGGTCCTATTACTACTATGAGTCTGCTAAATTGCTACTATCTGGCATGACCCTGAAGATGGACCTTTTCTGCTATGGTACCCGCCTTAAGGGATATCATCCAAGTCCCTTAGATCAGGGCTTTTCAACCTTTTCACCCATTGTACCATTTTTAGGATATGGCAATATCCGAGTATCACCAGTCGCCTAGCAAGGTGTCAAAAACTTGATGACCTCCCCCCCAAAAGGAAACAAATGATAAAGTACAGGTAGTCCTCGACTTACAACAGTTCGCTTAGTTACAATGGCATTGAGAAAAGTGCCCCCCAAGCCACAGCCAAGCAAGACACCTGTCTGCCCACCGAGGTTTTCATTGTTGTGAGCATTTCTGTTGAAGATTGGCAGCGGGGGTGGGGTGGGGGGGTGTTTGGTTTGTATTCCCCCCGTCGGATGGGTGGTTGCAGCAGGTTTTGGTCACTTCACATGACCCTGGGACACTGTGACCGTCATAAATATGAATCAGTTGCCAAATATCTGAATGTAAATCACAAGACCCTGGAGATGCTGCAACATTCCAGCTGATCGGTGCTTCTTCTGAGCTCAGTAGAAGCGCCAGGATCAGTGCTGCTTTCCAGCTGATTGGTGCTTCTTCAGGGCTCAGCAGAAGCACCAGGATCAGCGCCGAGCTCCAGCTGGAGGCTGGCGCTGATCCTGGTGCTTCCACTGAGCCCTGACAGTCCCGAAGAAGTGCTGATCCTGGCGCTTCCGCTGAGCCCTGACAGCCCTGCAGCTCCAGCCATCTCTCACTCAGACTTGTGCGGTGCTGCCACTGGTTCAGCTCATTCCCCTCCCCCGCTACCACTTTTCTAGGATGGTCGCATACCACCTACCAGGTGCCAATGTACCACAGGTGGTACCCATACCACTGGTTGAAAAGCCCTGCCTTAGATGAGGCTGGGCCTAACTTTCGGTAAGTCCTTCAAAACATGGCAATGTCATCAAACCTGTGAGCCCCAAGGGAAGGGTGAATTGTTGGCATGACCCTATTGTTTCCATCTATTGCTCTCTCCTTGCCTTTTAATTATAACATTAATATTTTCAATTGTTCCTTATTTTTATATAATTTATTTTTTTATTCTTTGCTGCCCAGAGTCACATTTTCTGAGAGGGGCAGCTATACAAATATGATGAAAAAAAATAAATAAATGTTAAATTAAACTCAGTCAATTGACTAGCTGAGCTTTTATGACCAAAGAGCCCTTTCACATGACAAACAAACAAACTTGGTGTTTCTAAGGTAGAACTTCCAGCAGGACCATTGTTGAATGGAAAGGATTTGCAGAAGCTAGTAGAAGGACTTGTCAGAATCCTGTTCCCCGTTGTCAGCTCTATAAGCTGGACCAGACTAAGAAACAGACACTGAACAGACCCAAAGCTACAGTTATTAGAATATCTGTGGCAACCAAGTCTTGCACCTTTGAATGAACTTCCCTTCCTCCCTATTTTATCTTCATGAGAACTAGCGGAGGGGGGGGGGCTGTCTCAGCGTTTTTGTAAAAACATTTTTGTAGTCTGAGCTCAAGCTTCGTTTATTTGATCACTTATTTTATCGATTTATCAAATTTATGCTGCCATCCATCTCAGCAGAAGATGGTGAGATGCCACTGCCTTAATAGACAATCTTCCCTCTGTCCTCCAAGGCCATTCTCTATACCAGGGCTTTTCAACCAGTGGTACGGGTACCACCTGTGGTACATTGGCACCTTGCAGGTGGTACACGACCATCCTAGAAAAGTGGTAGCGGGGGAGGGGAATGAGCTGAACCAGTGGCAGCACCGCACAAGCCTGAGCGAGAGATGGCTGGAGCTGCAGGGCTGTTAGGGCTCAACGGAAGCCCCAGGATTGACGCTTCTTCGGGACTGTCAGGGCTCAGTGGAAGCACCAGGATCAGTGGAAGCTGGAGGCTGGCGCTCGGCGCTGATCCTGGTGCTTCTGCTGAGCCCTGAAGAACCACCAATCAGCTGGAGCTCAGCACTGATCCTGGTGCTTCTGCTGAGCCCAGAAGAAGCCCCGATCACCTGGAATGTTGCAGCATCTCCAGGGTCTTGTGATTTACATTCAGATGCTTGGCAACTGATTCATATTTATGATGGTCACAGTGTCCCAGGGTCATGTGAAGTGACCAAAACCTGCTGCAACCACCCAGCAGACGGGGGGAATAAAAACCAACCCACCCCACCCCCGTTGCCAATCCTCAACAGAAATGCTCACAACAATGAAAACCTTGAACAGGAGGAAGAGCGCCGCCGTGTGGGCAGGCAGGTGTCTTGCTCGGCTGTGCTTTGGGGGGCACTTTTTTCAGTGCCCTTGTAACTTCGAACAGTCATTAAGCGAACTGTTGTAAGTCGATGACTACCTGTACTTTATCACTTCGAACAGTCATTAAGCGAACTATTGTAAGTCGATGACTACCTGTACTTTATCACTTTTTTCCTTTTTTTTGTCATCAAGTTTTTGACCCCTTGCTAGGCAACTGGTGGTACTCGTATATTCCCATATCCTAAAAGTGGTACAATGGGTGAAAAGGTTGAAAAGCCCTGCTCTATACTCACTACATTTTTATACTGTTCTGGGAGGCACAATGAGTACCAAAAATGATGAGTACCAAGCAAAGTTTCCCCATAGGGAATAATGTAGTGAGTCATAAGGCAGCTAACACTGACAATATCTAGCTTATGCGTTGAGTACCAAACAAATAATGAGTACTGGGACAACATTTTTGCATCAAAATGCATTGAGTACCAAATTCAATGAGTTTCAAAGAAGCTGAGTACCGAGGTTCCACTGTATTAAGCTTCAGTTCCACACCTTTTCGGTATGAATTTGTTCAGCCAAGTGACACAACAAGAATGCACTCAGAGTATGGACTTACCGATGCCAAAAGCCGATTGGATTCACCTTTCTGCAGGACAGCCCGCAGATTGTTGGCACGTTGGATGGGCTCTCCTACCAGGGTATAATTCAGCTGCAGCATTATGGGTGTGAGGCTGTCTTCTATGCAAGTCTTTCCTCATGAGGAGACGGGGAAACAACAACAACAACAAAAATCTGCTTGATTTTTAAGCCAGAATAGTTTCTGTTAGGAATAATAGGAGCAAACTATGAGAAAGATTGTATATACTTAATTTTACATGTACTAACTGCAGCAAGAATTGTATTTGCCCAATATTGGAAAAATGAAAACCTACCAACGGAAGAACTAATTAAGAAAGTTTTAGATTGTGCAGAAATGGACAGATTGACTTTAAAGATAAAAGAGAAACAAGACTCAGCGTACTTTAGAACAAGGCTCTCCAACCTTGGCAACTTTAAGACTTGTGGACTTCGAGACTTCCGGTGGCAGGCGACTTCGTCGGTCGCAGCTGTTTGCTGCCTCCCGCCTGTTTCGCGTAAAAGCCGGTTTGATAGCTAGCATCAGCTGTCAAACGGCTTGATACCCTTCCCCTGGGCATAAGGGGATAGGTGAGCTGCCCGGGGTAGGAGTTGAGTTCCCGAGTCGTCCTATATGGACGATGTAGGTGAGAACTCCTCCGGAGCCCTGAGGATTCTCCGCGATCCAGGACGCCTTCGCTTCGGCGAAGCTAGAAGCCGCCGCCACTGCTGCAACTTAAAGTTAATTGTGAGTTTTATTTGTAAGCAGACGAACCAACCTTGGAAGCTTGCTTTTTATTTTGGACTTTACTCTAACTTGGATAATAAGTTCTTCCCCGTACTTGTGTTGGATTGAGGAAAAGTGAAT